AATTAGAGGCAGTGTAAGATGCTCTTCCTCTTGTAGTAGTACCTGGTAATTAGAGACAGTGTAAGATGCTGTTCCTCTTGTAGTAGTACCTGGTAATTAGAGACAGTGTAAGATGCTGTTCCTCTTGTAGTAGTACCTGGCAATTAGAGACAGTGTAAGGTGCTATTCCTCTTGTGTTAGTACCTGGCAAAACCATTTGTGGGGATAATTTAGAACAGGGACCCCAACTATTTTTCCCTGAAGAACACATTCTATCAACAACACAAAGCCAAGGTGCACTAACTGGGGGGCGAAGGTCTCGAATGTATAATCTGCAGGTCAGGGGGAAGGTGGGGGGGCTTCCGACAGTAAAATTGCCAGGCGCGGTGGCGCTGGGGGTGTGCGGCTTGATCTGTATGGATTCAATTGTTTTTTTGGTCTGGAGTCCTCTAGGTGGTGACCACTGATCTAGCAGCTACCTTATTAAAAATGATCATTCCTGCTTTCGTCATAGTTTGAAAGTGGATTTCTAGAGAAACAGAACACTGACACATGAAAAAACATTACTGTGCAGCGGAACGGTGCACCATTGCCATAATGCATATAACAGTCTAATCCCTTTCCTTTCTGCAGGTCTGGATTTGGACATCCTGCACCTCCTGAAGTCCCAGTGCCAGTCATCTATGCTATCTGATGTCCAGCACCTTCTGGCCACTGAGGGGAGTGTCAATGAAGTCAATGACGAAGGTGTCACATTGGTGCGTGATCACTACCTCATTTCCATCATGGTGCGGTCCCGACCGCACTGTCCTGCTTCGGCATTTTTGCGCAGACACTTGGGCAACTGCTCTGTTTCTTACATGTTTCTCTTACAAACCCCCCTTGATTTACTGTGTACAAGTCTACTATTGACAGTTGCAGTATCCTACTGTAAGCATACACTCACAACTTGCAAAATCTTTTTAGCTATAGTTATTTAGTTCGCCTCCTCTGTAATCTTCCTCCTTCTTTACTTGGGGGTCTAATGTTTTCTCTTTTTTCAGCTGCACATGGCCTGTGCCAGTGGCTTTGAGGACGTTGTCTCTCTGCTGCTGGAGGCTGGAGCGGATCCCCAGGTAGCCGATGACAGCTCCTCCACACCTCTCCACCTGGCTGCCAGATACGGACAGGTAGCCCTTCTACGCTTCCCAGGTTACTGCTACTGACCTTCAGCCCATGCATCTGTGATCACCTGTTCAAGCTGGGACTGTCTGCCATAGCACAAATTCCAAGATGATGTTGCATCTTACCCTCTCTGCAAATGGGTGTTTTTATTTAGCTCGCTGAGATTCCTTTCTCATGTGTACTTGTTGATTAGACGGATAATTGTTGCATTTGAATGCTGGCACCATACTTGTGGGTGGATCTGTTTGCTAGAAATGTTTTTCACAAGTGAAACATTAGATTTGAGTCATTTGCAAGCTTCTGACAAAGGAAATTTGCCCATATTTTTTATTTTTTTTTGGGAAAACTTTCTATTAATGTCACATCTATAAGAATCTATGAACACATTTATAATGCATTATAATGTATTCATAAAGTATTATAATCATGGCTATATCTATTTATAAAAAGGCATAACACATTATAGCTGTTACGCCCGGCTCGTACGATCCTCGTGTGTGCCACGCCCCCCTCGTTACCTCGTGTCAATTCCCGATTGTCATCACCTGTTTCCTGTTTCTCTTGGCTTGTCCTTGTCGGTGTCAGCCCGATCTGTTTCAATAAACCCCATTTGTCTGCACTTACGACTGGACTTGCCTGCTTACCCGCTCGCCGGATCACCAAGTATAACAATAGCCATGCATATTATGCATTATGAATGCTCTATGAAGCTCCCATCTATAATGCAATATAGATGCCTTCATAATGCAGTACAAAATATCCTTAATTTTTACACTGGCCAATATAATACATTATGAAGGTATCTATAATGCATTATATATGACAACTTCACTGGAGCTTATGAAGTATCATAATCAACACTATAATGCCTTATGACTGTCAATAGAAGATGCTGTAATGATTTATTGATTCTTATACCAGCCATTATAATGCATTATGAAGGTATCTATAATGCATTATAGATGAGAGCTTTAAGTAAAGTGTTACCCATTTTTCTTTTCCCATTCTCCCATGCTCTCTCAAGGACATTCTAAGTAATGTTGTCATATTAAGATCTCTACTTGCCCCCACCCATTGTCATGACCTTGTTGTTAATAGCCTTTAATAACAGTGATAGGCCCAGGCATTGTGTTAACCCTCTGGCTGTCTGTTTAGAGCATCTGCCCATGGTTTCATCTATTTTAATGTTTTCTTGTCAAGAAGTAAAGTTCTCCTTCCCCCCCTTTATGTCTTTCTGTCTTTACTGATCGGCAAAAAGATCAAGTGCAAAGAATAAATTTTTCTGCTTTCAGCAATGGTAATGATGAGCTCTCTGGGGCTATGAGATCCAATATCAACATTTAAACAGCAGGAAATTTCCTCTGGGTGAAAACCTGATACTCCGATACGTTAAATGGGACGTTTGTTTTTGCCCACGCTGTTTTCCATTGCATTTCTTTGAACCTTTCCACTCTGTCAACTGTCATCGGACCAGATCTACGGCCGTCTCTCACATCCTTCATCCTGATATCATGCACACTGGTCGTTCAGGTGCAAACATGCCTACAGAGCAAGAATTTTCCTCTACTGGCCAGGGACACCTCTGTTCCTGCCCTCCAAATGTAGGCCATTGTCAGCCTCGAGATACGGCATGCAGACCAGCGGGGTAAAGGGCCCAGCTTTCCAAAGTTACCTTCCCCCAGGCATCACAGACACGGTGCAAGATCAAAATAGCAGTTCCCACTGTTTTGGGATAAAATCCAGACATTTTGCAACAACAAGGATGAAGTTGCTTTTTCAGATCTCAGCATTGCTCAAATGCTCAAGCAACAAATGCACAAGTGTCAGAGACCAAGGTCAATGGGCCATGAAAGGTCATATGTCCACGAGTGAGCTTGGTGGGGCTTTTTTGAGTTTAAATTACACTGTGACATACTGAAATACTGAATCTTGAATGAATGATTTATGTAATATACTGTGTCTAGTTTTTCCTTGACTGCACAAAGAACAAAAGAAATTCAAAATGGAAACTACTCTGTACAGGTGCCTATATTGTCAATTTTCTAAAATGAATTAATCTGATAGAAACTAGTGTTTACCTAAAACGGCACAGCATGAGCTAATAGAAATATGATTACTATCTGAGTGAATTTACATGGTAATAAATCTAATTCCAAGCACTTGGGAATTTCTATTTCAACAATTTACAGTATTATTAAATAACAGCTCATCTAATTAATGTTGAAATACCAGTACATTCATATAAGAAGAGTATTGAACATTGATTTTGTTGAATCATTGACGCATACAACATCCAATATTTAAAAGCTCACCAGAAAAGATCTTGAAATATTTTGTTTGATGTTTGACTTGATGTTAAACCATTTGATGTTAAACCATTTTAAACCAAGAAGGTTTGTAGTGTCAAAAACCCTGGAAGGTCTTACTGCTGAAACACACACGCAAGTACCATGGATTTAACATGCAGCAAATGTAACCTCTGTTAATGTCTGGAAGGCAATAAGATATTAAAATCTGTTGGGGTGAACAGCGGTGTTTTTAATTTGCATGAATTCTGTTTCTCCAGATCAGCATTGTGGCAAAACTGCTCAGGCATGGAGCAGATCCCAGTCTACTCAACCACAACAAGGACAGGCCTTCAGGTAGGCTGGGCGATCACTGCTTATCGGCTCTTTCAGCCAACAACACTATTCAAATTCATTCTCTGAGATTTTTAATTAGTGGATATGCACTTTCAAAGTGTCCTAAAAAAGGAATGAATGACCACCAGACTGTTACTCTGAGATCGGAGACTGAAATGAGCCAAAGTCTGAATTATAGAACTTAATTTCACTATTAAAATATTTACTTAGCCGGGTCGTTTGTCATCAAATGATTCATTTGTTCTTGGAATTTAATTCGCTTTAAAATTACTTCCATTTAGGACATTAAGTCATTGCTGCCTTTCTGCAGTGGAAATTGGGCCAAGACTGACTTGATGAATTTCTGCTTACAAATGTAAATGGAGCCAGGGAGCTCAATGAATTTGCAATTAAATTTGCTTTTTTAAGCGGCACAGCTGCTTTGAAATGGCTCCTCAGCTGCTTTTGGCTTTTCCTTAAGTGCCGTGCAGCTGTCTGTGCCTCAGAGAGTCAGAGTGCCGTGCCTGTAATTTGAAGGTCTCCAGTTGAACTCCCTGAGTCAGTCCAGTAATTTCTCTTTAACCCCTGGTCGCTCCAGGAGCTGCTTAATCCTGCTTTCTCAAGAAATGTACTTCAACCAAGGAGACCTTTTAGGCAGGTGACATGACTGTTTATTTGGTTAAACATTTTAAATGAGTCTGAGAAGAGTGCTTTGGCGAAGCCCGTCTCCTGGTCGTTGGTTCTACCAACTCTGAAGCCGTCAGATCTGGCTGGGCGACCAGGCAGGAGGCGAAGGAGCCTACCCCTTCGGACCAGGACGGGGAGCCGAAGGTGGTGGAGGGGAGGAGGTGGGCGAACCGAATAACGGCAAAGAAGTGGGTTAGACTTATTCTTTATATAGAACTTGGCAGGTGACATGACTTTAAATGAGTCTGAGAAGAGTGCTTTGGCGAAGCCCGTCTCCTGGTCGTTGGTTCTACCAACTCTGAAGCCGTCAGATCTGGCTGGGCGACCAGGCAGGAGGCGAAGGAGCCTACCCCTTCGGACCAGGACGGGGAGCCGAAGGTGGAGGAGGGGAGGAGGTGGGCGAACCGAATAACGGCAAAGAAGTGGGTTAGACTTATTCTTTATATAGAACTTGGACCGCT